CCTTCCTCTTCACTGGGCCGAGAGGGAGGAAGAGAGGCCGGGTCAGGGCAGGAAGGGAAGGGAAATACCCTCGAAAGAGGCGGGTAACCCACTGCAGCCGTAAGCCGGAGGAGACGGGCTCGGGCACCGAATCGGGCTCACGGCGCATTCGCCCTGCAACCCCGTGAATTTTAACCCCGGCTGCCCACGGGGGACTCACGGGGTCCCCGAACCGGGCCCGGCCTTTCCCCGTGCCAAGGGCCTGAGAGCGGGGCCGGAGCGCCGGGCTGTGCTGCGGGGAGCCCCGGCCCGGCCCGGCCCCGCCGCCCTCCTGCCCAGAAAAGCCCCCGGGTCTCCCTCTCCCCTCATTTCTCAGGGCGCAGGATCCTGCTCTGGCCTTATTCCCCCAAACCCAACAGCTTTCTCGATGCTTGGGTATTTTTTCCCCTTCTTTTCTCTCTCTCTCTCTCTCTTTTTTTTTTCTTTTTTAAAACCCAAACCAAAACCAACCCAAAAAGAAAATTATGAGCCCACATTTTTGGAGGGGAAAGTCGCCGGGGTGGTGCTGCTTCTCCCCGTCCGCGGAGGAGCCTCCGTCCTCCCGGGGATGCTGCCGGGGCACGGAACAAACCTCCCCTCTCCAGGGCGCACAACGAAACACCGGGGAAGGGGCTCGGCAAGCCCGTGCCCGTGCCGTTATTTCTCTTAAAAAATGCCGAATGAGACGGGCTGGCGGCGGTTCGTTACCGCGGGCGGTACATGCGCACCGGCGGAGCGGCGCGGAGATTTACGCCGCGAAACGTTAGTAGGTGACGGGAAAATTGCCGAGCAGGGGGGAAAAAAAAAAAAAAAGAGGAAGAAAATAAATCCGTGTTTGTGCTCGCCTTCTGCAGCTGGAGATTAGGTAGCAAAAAGGCTCAGTTTATACAAATCGGCGGCGTTTGGGGTTTTTTACGGGGGTTTATGTTAAATTTGCTGGTGGCGGGTGTTAGCAGGGACAGGGCTGGAGCCGAACGCGAGCTGATTTCTCTCTGTAGGAAGACAATAATCCGGTTAATTGAGCCACCGGGGAGCGAACCCCTTCAACCAGAAATCCCGGCTCTGGCCGAGCAGGCAGAGCCCGAGCCGGGGACGAGCCTTAAACACGGAGACCCGGCTCCGGTTCCCGGGGAAAGCGGCAGCCCCGGCACCGCCCGAGAAGGGGCCGGATCCGGACCGGGCAGGGCGGGGGGTCCCGGCCCCGCTCCCTCCCGGGAAAGGCCCGAAACTTTGTGCGGAGTTTTTTTTTTTTCCGCGGAGGAAAGCCGGGTCCGGCCTCCCGCGCCCCGGGGAAGGCAAATCCCTTCCCCCCCGCCGACCCCCCGGGCCCGGGGGGGCCGCTCCCCCGGGGGCGGGGGCGGGCCC